CTTCATATACGGATAGTAATTTGATTTCATTTCAAGCATATTATCATGATTATCCCTTACAAAAGTTTCCTATGGAACATATGTAATAATAACAGAACCCCACACCCTCCCCGTGGCTTTCGTTGCGTATGGTTTGTTTGTAATCCAACATGGCGGCCTAGTGATTTTTGTGACGTCACTGCAAAGCCTCTATATGCCACTGTAATGATGCCAAGATTCCATGCTAATAATACATTGTATCTCATTATCCATTCAGATTTTCACACATTATGGAAAGCCATGAAAATAAAATGCTCTTTGTTCATCAGTTCGACTTCTGATCAAATTTTTCATAATCAAGGCATTTTCCATAGAATTCTTCAAAATGAAGAATACTTCATGTAATCTCAGATGATTGACCCTGTTTACACTGACAACATTTTACTAGTATTGTAGCTGGGTCTAAGCGGTGTTAAATGAGTGCATAGATTATAGATATTATACAGTGTACATGTAATCTACTTCTTTGACCTGCAAGATATTGGCCAGCATGTCTGTCAGATATCAGGGAAATTGCAACTTAGACTCTCATGTAATAAATTCATAAGGCGTGCCAGTCAGCCCAGGTTATCGCTCAAAGTTAAAAAGTGAATACATTTGTTGAATGTATTTTTTGGTAACCTGAGGATACCTGCTGACCCACTAACTTAAATACAAATTTCTGTTATTTTGCCATTTAGTTGCATGTGCACCCAGTCTAAATTAAAGTCGTTTAAAATTTTAAAGGATAAAGAACTTATTTAGGGTCAATCTCTCCAATCCCCTAAACTAAAGAATTTGTTTTTTCAAACTGACATTGACCTTTTAATGTACACTTGTGCTTTGCCTTTTGCTTTTGCCACTTTGTAATTGTGTAGCGGTTGAGTCATGCATACATAATGAATAGACAGGGTCCCTAGCGTTGGGAAAATTCTTTGCAAGTCTTTGGATTTTTTGAGATCTGGAAAGTCTTTGAAAAAATGTTGAAAGGTCTTTAAATTTCTTCATACATGTAGTTATTAATTAATTTTAGAAAGGCCTATTTTCTCCAGGAAACTACCATATCTTCAGAACTTTGATGAGCTTTGGTGATGATGTTGGCCTGAATTAAGGGTCAAATTGTCTTGGGAAAAATGCAAGAAAGTTTGGAAAAACGTCTGGAAAAGTCTTGGAAATCATTTGGCTATTAGTGCTATGGACATCTAATAGGATATCTAATGAGTGACCCATGATGTGTGTAGTGATTTTCGTATGTTCTGAGAGGAACACGGGTTTCACTGTATTTTTTTTCAGGATGCTGTTGTATTACAATGCTGAAAGCTGGAATAATGTTAATATTTGGCTGTATATGTAAATGCATCTTGCTGTAACTCGTAATTTTAATCTGTTTGTTACAGAGATTTTGGCGAGTTATAATGATGAAGACATTTACTTGTTTGATAATAATCACAGCGATGGTGCTGAATATATCCACAAATATAAAGGGCATAGAAACAATGCAACTGGTAAGTTTTCTATACATTGTTTAAGTTCTCTGTGTCTTGCAGTACGGTGTCAAGGTACTCTAAAAGGGTTGATTATTCACTGGGTTTTAATTTTGCTTATTTCGCTAAAAATGCGCTAAATTAAAACCCAGTGAATATGTAAAATTTAGCATAGAACACATTATCTAAATGATAAAACCGTGAATTTAAAACCCACTAAATATGCCTAAATGTAAATTAGTGAAATTTAAACCCAGTGAAAATTAGTCATTTTACAGTAATTGTCTATGTTATATGTGTACTCTGGATTTTTGTTTTGTTCTAAATTCAATTTTATGAATTCTAAATGAATATTTCGTTCTCATGTAATTGCTCATCTACATTAACACTCTGAAAAAAAAAGTAGATTTCCTGTTCAATTTGTTTTTCAAAATCAATGTATGCATATATTTTTATTTGAATTTTAAAATTATCATAAAATATGTGCTTTATCAATTAACTTTATAATTTTTTTTTTTTAGCTCCGCTGTCGACTTTGT